GTTATACCCTTCAGTCCGAAAAGACGAGGCACAGTGTCTGGGATGGTATGGGATAATCGATTCAGTAGAAAATAGAAGCAAACGTGAAACATGTTGGTACTCTGAGTTTCACATTGTGTGATATGTAGACAACTGGCTTACTGTTGGAACTCGGAGACACTCTGTGCGATATATGTAGACTACTGTTGGAACTCGGAAACACACACTGTGCGATCTGTAGACAACTGGTCTATTTAAGACAAGCTATTAAAGTAATGAGTCTATACCTGTAGGAGGTTTAGTAAGATTTAAACATTGTAGATGATAAACTTTAGGACACGTGTTATGATCACACATCACTAGTTCTCCCCCTTCTTCACATCGGAAACAATCATCATCATGTTCTTTCTTTATATCTATCTTCTTTTTACGTTTCTTTTTCTTGTTCCCATCTTTTACTCTATTAGCATTCGCTATAGCTGCTGCCGACTGAAATCAAAGAGAAAGGTTATCAAAATTCTATATAGATTTATAGGGTAGCATTCGCTATAGCTGCTGCCGACTGAAATCAAAGAGAAAGGTTATCAAAATTCTATATAGATTTATAAGGTAGCATTCGCTATAGCTGCTGCCGACTGAAATCAAAGAGAAAGGTAATCAAAATTCTATATAGATTTATAAGGTAGCATTCGCTATAGCTGCTGCCGACTGAAATCAAAGAGAAAGGTTATCAAAATTCTATATAGATTTATAGGGTAGCATTCGTTATAGCTGCTGCCGACTGAAATCAAAGAGAAAGGTTATCAAAATTCTATATAGATTTATAAGGTAGCATTCGCTATAGCTGCTGCCGACTGAAATCAAAGAGAAAGGTTATCAAAATTCTATATAGATTTATAAGGTAGCATTCGCTATAGCTGCTGCCGACTGAAATCAAAGAGAAAGGTAATCAAAATTCTATATAGATTTATAAGGTAGCATTCGCTATAGCTGCTGCCGACTGAAATCAAAGAGAAAGGTAATCAAAATTCTATATAGATTTATAAGGTAGCATTCGCTATAGCTGCTGCCGACTGAAATCAAAGAGAAAGGTTATCAAAATTCTATATAGATTTATAGGGTAGCATTCGCTATAGCTGCTGCCGACTGAAATCAAAGAGAAAGGTTATCAAAATTCTATATAGATTTATAAGGTAGCATTCGCTATAGCTGCTGCCGACTGAAATCAAAGAGAAAGGTTATCAAAATTCTATATAGATTTATAAGGTAGCATTCGCTATAGCTGCTGCCGACTGAAATCACAGAGAAAGGTAATCAAAATTCTATATAGATTTATAAGGTAGCATTCGCTATAGCTGCTGCCGACTGAAATCAAAGAGAAAGGTAATCAAAATTCTATATA